AAAATTCAATTTTTTTTTAATTTTGTAAATATTTCCAGCCTCTAGAAAATTTTTTATCCAATATGGATGAGGGTTTCTACAATTAATGCTTTATAATCGGCACATTTGAAATGCGACGTCTAAATCAAATGTTGAACCTAAGTCGATTTTTCGACTGTTTCAGTCGCAGATTCGACAAATTGCTATTTAATTTGAAACTGTCGAATTTAGTTGATTCAGACGTACCATCTCAAAATAGTTTCCTCAGTCTCGAATTAAATTAGGCACGTGTGAAAATCGACGATTCAGCTGGGTAATAATAACACTATCCATTAATACTAAAAATACCGGTAGATACGCTATGATACATACGGTATTTTTTTATATATTCCTGTAAACGTTGTTTTCAATTTACCACATTATGTTACAGGCTATATGTACCACACAGGTAAAAAAGAGAGTAGAAAAGAGATTTAAGGAAAAGAAAAAACAAATAAGGTTACCAAAAATTTGCTTCAAGGGGATTTGAAACCGGACCCTGAGAATCAGTTAGAACTAAAAGTAAGAACTTCTATCCATTGGACTTCCTCGGTAAACACGAGCTATGTATTCCTTCTTTATGGTGATTGTCAGTTTTCAAGGATGACTTTTTCGTTTTTTTTTTAATTTCCGTGTAAATTTAAATCTTTAACTGATCGAAGCTAGACGTAAGCTCCCAATAAACCCATGAATACTCTTTCAGGCTTGATCCATGCCGGGGAACGTTTAAGAATTTATGAACTATCGATAACTAAGCCCCCGACTGAACCGTAAGATTTTCTCCCTGCTCGTAAGGTCTTTTCGAGGATGCTAAACGGGGTATCCAATTCTCAGTTAACTACTGTTTTATCAGTTAACTACTGTTTTTTTGGGCCAATTCTCAGCTAACTTCTAATTTGGGTGAGCTATTAACTTTCACTTTCCTACAGCGAATATTATTCCGTCATAATGAAAATTTTCCTTCTTTGAGCAACTCTGTCACTTTTAGGGCTAGGCCCTAATAAAATCAAGGTATAAATTTACATGAACTCTGCCAGTAGAACAATTTATTAGTGACTGAAAATATAAGTCGTATAACCATCAATATGACACCAGCCTCATAGATCCAGACGCACCAGTCATGATGTCGTACTGATCTTCGCGACATGGTCATGAATGTCATGCATGTCCTGCTATAAACTACTTCAAAGTCACCTTCCTCAGCACTTTCACTATTTGATCTAGCCTGATCCCACGCAGGCGATTTTAGGGGAGTTCGTATTTCTTCCCTTCCCACAAACGCCTGCTCAACCCAGAACAACATTCCTTTCCCATTACATTCGCGTGGTAAGTGACCAATAAACGGTTTTTAAATAAAGTGTTGACAGGCTAAACACGACTCATAAGCTCGTGGTAGTGTAAAAACGTGACCCTAGAGTTACCTTTTTCCTTATTTTCTTTCCTTCGCTAAGGTTATGCAGTGCACGGAGAATTCTAAAATCTGACTGAGTAAATCTTACTTTTGCCGCTCCGAGTCTAACATTTATTAGAGGTCTTGAGGGTTTCTCATGCAGATCGTGCAGATCATGCAGATCGCGTAATTATCGGGTTACCCTGCGGTCAAGGTCAACTTTCCAGAATTTGGAAAGTACAACGTGATTGGCCAAGCTTGGAAAAGGAATGTTGTCTTCGGTTGACCAGGCGTTTGTGGGAGGGACGAAATACGAGCTCCCCTAAAAACCCCTGCGTGGGAGGCTATATTTGATTGGAATCAGTCTTGTACTTATCTGGTTGCTGTATCCCTTGTATCTTGTTGTTGGCCTAAGTTTCACTCCATTTTTGATCCTTGCAATCCATTGCAACAGACGACTAGAAACATTATCAATGCCAAAATATAGTCTTCAATAACAAAACTGGACCATTGTTTTTGGACTTCAATGGGTGAATTCAATCACTGTTTGCACCGATGGGAGAGACATACTTGAGAGTGCTGACAAAGACACGGGACAATTCGACTTTTATTTCGTGAGTGTAGCCCTCTTCTAATTCGTAGTTCTTTTAAGCGATTCCTTTACTGTGGTTCCATAGTCTTGGGCGTAGTTCAAAGCACTCATGAAATGTCTTGTGTTGAAGTGAGAAACCGCATGTAGGTTTTCCACCTGCGTTGTCAGAAATTTTCTCAGACGTACCTTATTCGCGTATTTAAAAGTCTCATAAAGGTATCCAAGGGTTTTAAGAATGAAACTGCCGAAACTGTTTCAGTAAGACCGGTTTAAACACGAGCTTTTCTTTCTATTAAAAAAGTCTCAATAGTTAGAACTCCAACATCAGTTACAAAAATGATTTCTCGTAAGTACACATTCCATGTACTTGAAAGAAAGACCGCTGATTTCTTTGAACCCTCAGAGATTCTTTTTAGCCAGAACCAATGCTAAGAGTCACAGCTTTTTTATTTGGGTAAGATTTAACTTGACGATCTTTTGAGTCCGTGAAAACAGTATTTTCCTTTTCCGAACACAGAAATCTTGTTAATATCAGAAGACGAATTATTCGTTGAGTTGTCTACAACCAGCTCTTTGACTTATCCTTTCTGTTTGTCAGGTACTGCCCTGGTGCCTTTTTCACATAGTCATATCATTTAATGTGCCACCTGGTCATCAGCAAGACAGAAAAATGCCAGAAAATAGCATTTCTTTTTGCAAAACTTTGTTGCTTTCATTAACATTGATATAATATCACTTAACTGTTAACTTTTCATTTATCAGTTAAATACTAATATTTTGGCCAATTATCAGTTAATTACTCTTTTTTTGACCATATATCAGTTAAACACTAACACAACATTGGTCATCATTATTTCGTTGTTTTAGGCTAGGGTAGCAAACCATTTGGCTTTTAGGGTTATAATAGCTGCTAGATGACCTCTCTCAAAAAAATATGGCCGCCAAATATATCCTTTTAGTTTTTAAAAATCTTCTTTTAATTGTTAACAAACGTTGAACATTTATTTCGGCAAACAAACAGTTAAGTTGGAAAAGGATTTTACAAAAGTCTCAAGAGAAGGTCTTATTCTGGATTTTAACTTGAAATATCGGTCAATTTACGCAACATATAAACTTCTGGGACAGTTTTCGTTTAGTTCTGCTTTAAAATGGAATAATAATTACTCAGAGACAATGCAGAGTAAAGAATTGCTGAGAAAACAGCAAAAACTTGCCAAGTTATGACCAAAAAAGGTACTCTAAAAACGAACTAAAACGTTCAAAATGCCTTGTTCACGTGACTGATGACGTCATGTCCCTTTTTTGGTCATAAAAAAATTATCCGGTAGAACATTACTTTCTCGCAAATTTTTGTCTACGGTGTGATAAAAGGTTGACTCTCTACAGCCCTCGGCCTACTCTCGACTTTTTCGCTCATGTTCATTACCCCCTTAAATTTTAAATGCCGGACGTCAACTGGTTATTTTTAAATGCCCCACACAGCTAAAACCTCAAATATGCTACTGTTTTTAACTCGTTAATGAAATCTTGTCTCAGCACCCAAAAAACCTAATCGGAAAAAGTCAGGTGACTGATGACGTCATTACCTTAGATGTGACATGGGAAAATATTTTGTGGCAAATGTTACCTTGTTGTGGTCTGACATTCGTCTACGTATAAAATTGTCAAAGTTAGTAAGAAAGTTATAAAAAAAATTGCCTCAAAGGATTCCGGTGCTAATTTTCATGATAATTATAATTTACCTTTATAATTTTTATTTATTAGTTTTTAGTGGGGGTTTTCTCACTGGTTAAAATATCTAATATTTGAATGGCTACATTTATGGTTTTGTCGACATTGAAACATTTAGCTTATTTTCGAAATTTTCCCCGAAACGCTATGTGACTTAACAAGCCTGACGTTTTAAAAATTTCAATAAAAAGTTAATATCAGTAGTGTTCTAAACTTGGGTCGGAGTGAATGACATGACTGATCTTTTACACTTTGCAAATCGGCTCTTTTCAGCCCCTTCAAATCTGGAAGAACTACGCCAGAAAGCATTAAAAGTGCACAACGACAAAAGGGCGATTCATGATGCCGATCCCCTGACGCTTTCAGCGAGTATGAATGATGAAGCCCAGAAATTTGCTTGGAAGCTTGCTAGTCGACCCTGGAAAGATGTAGGGCAATTCAAAACACCTACCGATGCCCGTGCTTGGACCAATGTTATATATTGCATTGACAGAGGTGATATGAAAAAAAGTGATGCCGAACTCATGGAAGAAGTCATGTCACAAATGTGAGTTTAAAAGGACAAAGGCTGGATGAGCATGAAGTTAATAGTATTAGTCCATGGGCCAAGACCTAAAAATTTGGAATTTCTTACCACTTAATGGGAGCAGTGCTGTCATACATTTTCTTAAACCTCATTTCCTATACTTTAGTTTGATGTATGATAGCAATGATATACGGCCAGCTTAAATATCAAAATCACGTGATTAACTGACGTAATCACTGACAAAATATGACCTAACTATCTAAAAGTGGTTGATGAGAACAGAGTGGTTTCATGCATATTTTGGCGCTCTACTGTTGATTTAAATGGAAAATTACATTATGATAACATTTGACTTAGAAAATTAACGAGAAATAATATACCTTGGTTGCCATAGCAACAATCACATGGGCTAAAAGTGTTTTCACACGTAGGAATGTTGAACGCCCTCAGGAAAACTCGTCAGATACTTGCTTTAATGTGTCAATGTACACTTTATATCGAATATTTGCGTTATATAATCAACGTTTTAGTCACATTTCCATCGACATATATATTACAAGAGCAGCAGACTAGAGCTTGAATTTTCGTTTATTTAGTGACACGCAGTAACATTGCTAAAACCCTCAACATCTAATGACCATTTTTACTTTCCTGTCTGGTATTTTGCAAATAGCTTTGTCCACTAACCTACAACACTAAGAGATTATATCAAGGCACCGCGAGAACCTTTAGAGTACTACGGCTTAATCATCTTCACATTCAATATCAGAGTCATCTGTAGTTAAATCCTCTGCAGCTTCCTCAGGCTGGTTTGTACACTCCTGTAACCGACACATGTCAGTACAATGCAATCCGTTAGCGAGACAGGTACAGCTTGGCAACTGGCATACTCTCTTACACTGGCAGGATAGGAGCTCAAGCACAACCTTGGGTGCCGGTTCCCCATTCATCCAGTCAATAGTCAACTTACCATCCTTTAGACACCATCCAGAACCAATGGGCGAGGGGATTTGGGGTGAACATTGAAGACTCCTGCGCCATATTGCTGACTGATAGTTTGCTCTCTCACAATGCTTTCGTAACGTGTCCTGGCATGGAGGAAGCTGGTGCGACTCTAACTCTCCTTTCCTGGCGCAGAAGAGACGGTAACGCAACACGTTAACATCCTTAGTTCCAGGATTTGAAGAGTACATCACGCACGTAAACTCTTGGAGACGCACAAATAGCTCATTCGATAATTCCCATTCCACGCCAAGCTGTTGGAATAACTCTTGGTATGCAGGACGTCGCTTTACTAACTTTAACGCCGTCAGTTTTCCTTTTCCAGAAAATGCGCTGACGCTATCACATCCAGTGAAAGCATGCAGACCAGGAAGACATTTGCAAATCCTAGAACCATGACGTTCGAAGACATTTGTAATGCTGACAAACCTTGTTCGAGTCTGTGTACCGCATTTCAAATACATGGTAGCTGGAACAAAGTCCTTAAATGCCAGGCAAAGTACAAATACGTCGGTATCTTCTGATGATATAACAATAGCCTTGAAACCATTCCTTGCTGCATGAGATGCATGAAGAAGAAGTCTAGTGTCTGCTTCCTCTTGAGTTGACGTCAGATCTTCTCTTGGTCTGAAATTATCTGCTGAAATCTCAACACAACTTTCCTCGGTCATGGTGAAAAGGTGTCTCCCTGTTAGTCTTTGCCTGAACCTCTCTTTCTGCCATTCTTCAGTGACAACTCTAACCAACTGCTTCTTGTTCTGAGGGTTCGATAAGAACTTCCTCCATTGTTGTATTCTGTGATCTGGCTGTATATTTCTGTACTCGATTCCCGTGTATCCCCCTCTCTTCTCTCTCTCTGTGTTCTTTATCGACGTTTCTCTATAAACATCGAAGACGACGTCAATACGCTTACTCGTTGCACCTTCTCGCAGGATCATAGACATCAAAACATCTGCTATTTCAGCAAATGTCTTATGGTCTCCTTTGAGCCTTTGGACCATGGACATGCCATCAATGATGCACGCGGATGGGTTTGGGATGGCTTCAACCGATGGTATATCTTTCTGGAGTTCTTTTGCTAATGTACTCTTGTTAGTCTTTCTTAACGAACCATCAGGAGAGGCTAGTGCCCAGGGAAGAGGCCCCAGAGGATGAGACAGCACTGAACTCATAGTAAGCTTTCTTGTTTCAGCTATTACGATCACCTGTGCAAACAATCTTCTGTCCGCTCTCACTATGATTTCGTTTGTAGTTCCCTTTTGGACTTCCATTTTCTTGCTTAGGTGAGCGAAGGTCTTGAGATTTACCTTTTTCATTGCGTCGAAAAACTTCTCCTTTGCTGGATTCGATTCTAGTCTCTGCTGACTGAAGCAGCGGTAAGCTCTCTCACCAATATCGTGAGCCTCGAGAAGATCTTTTTCGATTTGTTCGGTTGCCATCTTTCCGGTGGATAAACAAACAAGATCTTGTTTTTCGATTGCAAATGGATTTATCCAACTATCCAATGTTGATAGCAATGACTTCACATCACTTTCGTCTCTGGAGATCCTGGTCTTCTGGAGGTCATTGTGTAGGCAGCTTGATGTATTTAGTTGAAGCATGTCCTTTAAGTTGCGCATAAAAATGCTTCTGTACTCAGCTACTAAGTAATACTTGCTCACAGCCTGGGGTTTTAGACTGAATCCTTTTGTGCCTCCCGGAGTTTTCGTGTCTCTGTTGACGGTTTCTTCGCAAGCTTGATCCACAGGTATTTTTCCGAAAGGGTTACTTTCTCCTATCTGCACGGCAAATCCACCTGACTCCAAATACTCGAGAACACTGGGATAGTCGTTTTCGAGATGCGCCATGTCTGACAAATACGACGAAAGATACCTGTAATAAAATGCAATTATTTTAAGTATTTGTGTTTTGTTTTTTTTCGTTTATAATTCGGCAGCTAGGGTAATAAATCAATGGAAGTGTGCCAGGGATCGAATTCTTCTAGGAGCCATGTCATGGTTCCACAGGTCTTTGGTCAAAGCTGATCCGAAATTTTAACTGTCGTCCATCATATCTTGTCATTCTTAAAACTCTAAAAAAAGATATTGAATGATTTTATCAAGGAGAGAACAATAAAGCCAAAGACATAGGCTTGCAGTCGAGGTATGCAAGTAGAGTAATTTTAGCCGATGGAACTGAACCGTTACTTTAGGGTTTTCTGCGATTCTAATTTGTTCTTAGGGGTGTAAAGTAATACAAAACCATTGTGACATAACTTCTTTGAACCTACTATTTCCAAACTAATTCATTTTCTTATTAGCTTTGTACACATACAAACACATTTGCTAAGAAATACCTGGCATAGTTAATATTGTCGTATGCGAAACACCACGGTACCATGTTCCTTACGCATGACAAATGGAGCTTCCAATCACCCTCTCTTGACGCTCTTAGCAGTCCAAGCAATATCTCCACCATGTCCAGGTAGGAAACCCAGAACTGTGATAAATTTCCGTTCTTGTGCCGAAGATAGTCCATGTACTGGTCGTAAAGGTCAGTTAACTCGACGAAAGATTGACTTTTAAGTTTGTCTTGGAACTCGGTGTTACAAATCTTGTCATACAAACTCGCAAGTCCATTAACGGCGTTATCTACTGCTCTCTTCTTACTTTGTTGATTTTCTGTCAACCAATTCTCAGTTTATGGAACCTCACAGCTCTGTTATATCTCCGGCCTTCTAAAACTCCACACACGGAACCCTCGGTGATGACTCCGGATTCTATGCAAATGTCTTTCAACCCAGCATACTGAAATCTCTTTCCGATTATTCCCAGGAACGTACATATGGTGTGAAATACTCCCATTCTTAAAATTATACTCTCAAACCTCTCAGTGTGCTTTCATTTTATCTCGGTGGCCTTGGCATATAACGCTTGGTCGAACACAACAACTATGGCTTGAAGCTTGAGGGTTTCCTTGATCTTTAATGACTGATTCAAAATCTCGAATACTGTTGACATGTTCGTTGCAGGTGCATCGATAGTTGGCAATATCCTATGTTATCTTGCCTCACTTCGATCTCATCCCGCACTAGGATATTAAATCCTGTCCACCCACAAACGTTCTGCTTTTCGGCAGCATGGAGCCGAACAATAATCCACAAGAGATTCTTCTTCCAAGCATTTCTTTGTATCTCTGTTGAGGATACTTCAACATAGGATCTCGGAGGGGGACCACAGCGCTCTCCTGCATTATAGATGGGAAGATCGCATTCGCTTACTACTTCAAGGCTTCTTTGTTTGGACTTGTTTGGACTGGAGGAAGATCGGGACCAAGATGTTGAGCTTGTATTGCGATGCCATTTACTCTATGCGACGTCCCCCCACCTGAGAGTGTTTCCTCTAATCTGTCTATGTTGTCCCAGGCAAGCGATGTACTGATGTGAGGCTTGATGTTGTCAGGAAGCGGGACGGCATTTTCCGGGGTCATTGCCATTTTCTGAAGACACAACGCTGTGTTCAATTCTTCGATTTGTGAGTAGGCTACCCCATGTCCACATCGATTCAAGATCTGAATTAGTTCTACGTTATTTGTCAAGGTCTTGACAGCATAGGGAAGTAATATGTGTTTTGGAGGCTTCTTTCGGCCGCCAGTCACTCCTAATACCATGTCCTGCCCAAACGAGTTGACAAGCCGCTGGACTTTTGATGAGCACGGTTCTTCTGGATACTTTGAATTTCCTGTCAACAAGGTAGCTAGAAACACTCTGACTTCATCAGGAAGATTTATTTCCTCTTCAGTGAGCTGGGAAGGCTTAGGAGGCCACGACATCTCGTTTTCTTTGCAACATATGGCTTTCCGAACTTCTAGAGCAACTCGTCGGATGTCATCCATTAATGATGCTTGACCTTCGCACTGCAGTTGCTGTAATCGCGCTACTTCTTTAGCCAACTGAAGTTGTGACAAGTTGGCAGGGATAATAAACACTCTGTTGTTACCAAGCAGGTCTTCAAACTGTAATAAACTGCCAAACTCTGCCTCAAGTTTCGTGCGAAGATGTGTCTTGGAGGACTCTTTAGTTTCCTTAATGCCCAGATCTTTCATGTAGGAGATCATCGTTTGAGTAAGATCAGTGAGCCTTATTAGATTAGGCGTCACCAGTACGTTATTCCTGACGTAATCGAAAAGCTTCTCATACGCTGCTGACTCAGCGCAAGCATATTCTTCTCCAACCACTGCAACCACTGTTTTGGCGAGATCTAAAATTGGTGCGTACTGCCGAATTTCGGCGGCCCTTACAAGCGTTTGCCATGACTGCAAGTCTTGCACTGATGATAGGTCGCCAGAATCTTTGGTACAATGTATTAAACAGTCATTTCTCATTTCCACACAAAGACGTTTCTTAGGGGGGCCATCTGATTCTATACTGATAATCCTCTTAAGTTTATTACCTAAAAAGTTAAGATAACAAGGCTATATTGTGAAGACTTTCGTGAAAGTAGGCCAGTAAAAGAAAAAAAATATATCAACATTTCACTGTCTGGAACTTAAACAAATCTCAAGCATTTCTTCTAAAACCCTTATAGCATTAGTCAGCTTCTCTTTCATACACCTCCGGTCAAGTTTATCCAATAATTTGTAATTTATAATGTTTTTACAATGATAGAAATCGGTAAATGAAAAGTCAAGTTCGACTTATAACTAGAGTTTTGAAATCTAGTTCACACCTCGAAGGCTGGTAAGTTTTTGCATACTTTTTATCGAACACTGCTGCAAACATTGTTTAATTTTGTCTAATTGTATTTCAAATACAATTATTATGTTGTAAATTGTTCTACTGTGCATCGAAAGAGCCAGAAAACCTGACCAACAACTTACCTGAGAGATTATCCGCCATCTTGGATTACCCATAATGCATTACAAAGGCAGCTGAAAGTAAAATCGCTATAAAACAATTTTTTTTACGTTGTTTTTATTCTTTATTGGTAGCATCGAATAAAAGAAAACATATTTCATCTCTTCCTTTGTTTTAGAAGGTTTAATGTTTATCGTTTCTTCTCTTGCACTTTATTGTCTCTGTAAGGTCTGCTTTTCATAGAGCGCTATTTTCCACACTTTTTAATTTCAAAAAAAATATAACAAAGCTGCCCGTTAAAAGTTGCTATCATCAAAAATTTTAAACAACTTAAGTTAGTCTTTAATTTAAATTGATACATGTCACTATTTCTTCCTTGAAGTGGTAAGAAAATCTGGTCGGGCCCATGGACTATATTGTTAGCGTGTGCCATAGAAATAGTGATTTTCATAATACAGATTTTGTTATCTTTTATGGCGCCTTAAATGTGTATATATTGGTTATCGTAATTTTGTTTCTTAAAACCTTCTGATTTAAATATTATTTTTATACTATCATCGATGTAATTGAAAGTCTAGTATATCAGAATTAAACATTGCTGTCGATCTTATTAGATTTTTTGATTTGCAATATTGTTAAATGGTTGAGTCTCAGATAATACAAATGAGGATGTCACTTCTTTCTATTATACCTTTTGTTTAGATTCTCTCTTTCCCTCTATTCTATAACTCCTACCTATTGTCAGAAACTGCATTATCATTATTTTCTCTTTGCACAGGTACAAATTTAAAAACAAAGGCGGTGCTTGCGCTTTTAACTACGACAACCCGGCTACACCCACAGATGACGAAAGTGTCTTAATGTTCATTCGCATGGTATGGGCCAATTCCAAAGAAATTGGTATAGGATATGCGAAGAGAGCGGTGTACCTGACCAACAAGTTTAATGGGGCACCAATGGCTAAACGCCTTTGCCTGTTTGTAACTACCTTCTACAAGCCAGGAGCACTAAAGAACGCATCAAGTCAGAGACTAAAGACGAATGTTAAAAAAGGAAGCTTTAACCCGCAAACTGAATGCCTGGATTCAAATGAAGACAGTGAAGACGAAGACGAAGACTTCATAATGTGAATGAAACAAAAAGGCTTGTTGTTTGTCAGAAAACTCGTCAGCCTCTTTTAACTCATAAGTTCATTTTATTTGCCTTATTAAATGCGTCTAAGAGATACTAATAAACATGAGTGACAAAAAATTAAAAATATTGTTTTTGTTAAAAAATCCATAAAAATGCTAGCAAACATGAAAACGTTACAGTTGTCTGTTTGTTACCGTGTTACATGTCCATACCGATCCCAGAAAATCAAGCCCCACCCCACCCCCAGAAAAATTATATGCATTGCATTTCCTACAATACCGTAAATCCTCTATTAAGCCCCCCTCTCAAATAAGCCCCCTCCCTCTAATAAGCCCCCCTCCCTTTTCAGGGGAAGAAAGTTAATAAGGCCCCTCCCCCTCCCCTCCCTTATTTATTCTTCACTAATAAATGATAGACTGTATCAATCAACCACGACTGTAAAACTTCGTGTGAACTGTTCCGGGATGGTTTATTTACTAACTGGAAAATCGCATTTGATTCTGATCCTCAGCTGCATGACCTAAAACTTCTTGTACTTGAGCTTTTCCACTTTGAAATCTAGTTCTTTATGGACAACTGATACCATTGTCGTTTTTTTAATTAAATAAGCCCCCCCGTCTCTATTAAGCCCCCCCTCAAATAAGCTTGAAATAAATAGGCCCCCTGGGGGACTTTATCGAGGATTTACGGTATATTGATTTAGCTAGCCAAGGTTAAAACAATAAACTTGAAATAAAAGAACAAGAAATCCACATATCTCTACTTCATGGTGGATTAATTTCTAGTCATCGTCGATCACAGTATAGTACGACTGGAAAAAACTAAATCTCCCAATAGCCCACCTACAAATAGCTTTTGATGCCGACAGGCCAAAAAGCTATCCGGTATTATAATAGTGTATTCACACTTATCCGATTTGTGACTCTCCACTTTAGAAATCGCTGCAGCCCGATGCGATCTCCCAGAATTCTAGAAGCCTTGGTATTCTAAAGTTATTAAATCATGCTTGATTAGCCTTTCTTTATAAGACATGTTCGTAGGATAGCTAACACTAAGTATAAACTTCGTTGCTCTACGACGGATAAATCAATGAGAGCACGATGCTTCGAAATGAGAGAAGACCACAGAGCCCACGGGTTGATTCTGTGGGTCGATATGCATGTAGAATTTTTCTCCTGTTTGAATTCACGCATGTCGTTGCAGAGCTCGGTTAAAGCCAGTAGTCTTATACGCTTTCGCAAACGTAAGTTCTATACTTCGGGTCCAGGACATGTCGTTGGACACATGCAGTATGCTTCTGAGGACAGTAATCGGGATGGTACAGATCTGTTGGCTAAAAAAAATTACAAGTTTCAAGTATTCAAGCCTATTGTTTTGCTATTAATATTCGATCACAAATTTATATTATAGGTAAGAGATCCATTAGAATAAGTCTTTATCTTAATTTTTGTTAGTTCGTTTACAGAACTAGAAAAACACATGCTAAAATGCCAATTAATTACACTCTACGTTTTAAACATGAGAAAGCTATCCTTTACCTTGAACTGAACCATGCAATATGCGTACAAAAAAAAAATCGCACTTGCAGTGTTCTCAATAACCCGCAGTAAATTGGTTCAATCGTTCCGGTAATAGATAAAGTGATGAAAAGTTTGATCTGGTTTGACTAGTCAAAACATTGAAATATTTTGGGGAGTCATTCGATGTTTTCAATTACCGAAACTATTAACAGTCGGTCGGACGATATTGAAGTCACGCCTGGGTTTGATTACCTAACGCTAATACTGACTTGCATCAAAATTTACAGTGGATACTGAAACTGGCACTGATATCAAGAGTCGTCACTCTTTAAGCCAGTTTAGTCAGTCTCACCATAGTGCGCATGCACTGCCACATGTACGTGGCACAGAAAAGCCGACAGAAGTGTCGCAAGCGATTTAGAATAATTTAACAACACGGCAGCTTATTTCGTTCAAGCTGTGAATTTTGATGTGTCTTTTGTTTGGTTCCTATATTTTCCAGCAGTACTGTTTTCGTTATTGCGTTCGAGGTACGAGAATGCAACCCCTAATTTGCGTTGGGTGTTCTGTGCATTATTTGGTGTCCTGTGCAATTAATAAGGGAGGTTTTTTCAAGATTGCATTCGTCGTCGTCGTCGACCCACATTTGCCTCGCTTTGAGGCGCTTGCTTTCGTTTTGCCTCACTTTGACGAAGTAACTCACGTGGTGATTCGTCCGTCCTCGGCGTTCATCATTCAAGCGTTTGCTGAGGTCTTTTATTCTGTCTTCGTAAAGCGTTCATCTTTTAAATGTTTGCTGAATCTTCGTAAAGCGTGCATATTTGAAGAGTTTGCTGAAGGTCTACTATCGATCTGTGTTTGCTGAATCTTTCAAAACGTTCATCTTTCAAAAGTTTCGGCGGCGGTTGTGCTACAAAGTAAATCTACAGAGTTGTGTAGCTCGGCGGCCGTTGCGCCAAAGTAAATCTAGCGAGATGTGAAGCTCGGCTGCGCCGTTTCATCATGATTTGTGATATTTTCGGCATCCGACAAACGAACATTTTAGGTCTATGTTATTTATTCGGAAAAACTTATAAACAGCCCACAGCAGCTCCACTCAAGTCACTGAAATCAACACCCTTGACCAAATTACTCAGTGCACTTATTGAGACGGACCATACGATATCACTAGCCTTCAAGGCTTTTTCATAATGATACACAGTTTAAATAGAGGTTTCGCTGTATGCAATCCTTACGTTTAAAATATGCCATGATCAAATTAAAGCCCGGTTTCCATATGATCGCTACCATCGCTGTCATCGCTGAGAAAAAAAAAACATCGATCATATGAAACCACTCTCCAGCGATCGCAGCGATCGCAGCGACAACAATAGCTGAGATATAAAAAGTTCTATCTCAGCGATCGTTGTCGCTGCGATCTCTAGAGAGTGGTTTCCATATGATCGCTGAACTTTTTTTTCTCGGCGATCGCAGCGATCGTAGCGATCATATGGAAACCGAGCTTAATCTATCGCAATAACCATTCACCCCTTCCTCCTCAACTGCTACCTGTACACCTTACAAACATATCGAACGCACTCTTCTAAGCTCCGATTACTCCTAGTATTTGTTATAGCTGAAGGACGCAAGTAGTATGTTAAGGATTCTCAAGGGGCCCCCTAATGACCGAGTGTTTCCAAATACATCAGAAGTGTCACAAATGGCTTTCTCTTTGCTTTAGAACACTGTTGAGCGATTTAATTCGGAGCTGCTCTAAAAACTACATTTATCTGTTCAAATGAGGTAGACGAACTTTGTTTGTAATGAACGTTTTAGGTTGCAATTTTCGTCGTACTCGAAACTGTTAGCTACTATACGTCCCGACATACTGATGGGTCCGGTCGAATCGAGGTCGAGTACATGGCGGTTTAGCTGTACTTTTATTTTAAAAACTCTGGGAGACGATTTGACTTTTTGCCGAAATTTTTAGATAACTTTTTGTTAACGGAGATCGCAATAACTAGGTCATAAGATGCGAAAATTGTAGGTAAGTTAAAAGGAAAACCTCGAAAATGTTAGACTGATAGGACGGTTATCAAGAAATTTTTGCCCTTTCTCGAGCTTTAGAAATTTCTAGGCAAAGTCGTCGGATGCCTCTGATTAATTCTTCTTTTGTGGTTTGTGTTATTCCATGCCCATGACGCCAATAAACAGCTGAACATCAGAGTTTTTTGTCTTAATATCTTGTTAATTTTTTAACACCAGTTTGTCAATGAATAGAGTCGATTAACTAGTAGAAGGTTGTTTTTCGACTGCAAAATGTGCTTGAACTTATAAACAATTCGACGTCGATGCCAAGATTGGCGTTGAGAATGCGGGTAATCAACTATTTGCTAATTTTAGTGTTTTCCACATTGTATAGCTATCACAAGTTAAGATTGAAGGCAACAAAAATATTTTCTTTTTTATGATTTAGCTTATTTTCAGGGCTTTTTGTCTTTATTTGAGAGTCAATGCAAGCAGGTGGTGAATTATTGTTTTGTTTAGGCTTCGTATCATCAGTTTTTTTTTCTTTATTTTGATGGGAATTGATTTCATAAACTCAACTTGAATATATTTTCCCATACCTGCAGGATACGACACAGTTTTATCGAAACGCAAATTACTCAATATTCTCAAAATTAACGCAGAATTTAAGTTTTTATTCAACGAATCAAGCAGTCATTACTCGACTTATGGCGCAGTAAGCCTTGCAAATCCCCCCATTTTTATTTTTGTTATTACTTTTTATCCACAACGTTGCAACTACGCAACGTTTTATTCATTAAACGGTTCTACAAGTTAGAAAAACTAGGGAAATGCTATGGAACAGTTAACCAGAATTTTTTTTTCTTTTGGAGTAATGAAGATTTTTAGGCATTATTTCCTTCTTCGAAGAGGTATTTTAGTCAAAATTGTGGTTTGATGCCCCTATATAAGTACGGTTTGTCATGATATCATAACAAAAACAAGAGCGCATTTTGCTCAGTAGTTTATTGACTTTGTCTAGTTCCTTTTTTGCGGTTAATAAGATGCTCTTCCTTTTTTTAAATAGTTCGTTATTTTACTGCTGAATTTCAATCTTCTTAATTGAAATGGCTTTGTAATAATATTCCAATAGTAACCAATATTTTAACAAAACTTGATCTGTCTTTTATGTACTTGGACAGGTTTAAAAACCTCATATGAGCTCTAATTTTGCTGGACACCCAGCGCATATTTATGTCTTCTTGTAAAAACGTCCACAACATATTTCTTTTGTATAAAATCGTTAATATAACGTGAAGAAATTTGTCTAAATTACTAAAGTAATGTCATGTGGCGACCGCATTTCATTGCATGACTAGCATCATCTATAAATGCAGGTGAAGGGAGCTTACGCATGCGTCGTACTTAATAGTTTAAAGAAGAACAAATATTTTGTTTTGCATTTAATTTTTAAAAGACGCCGAAACTTTTATCATAATAACTAACACGAATAAATAACGGTCGATTTGGAAGTCTTTACAAATAAACACGGAATCAGTCCAACAAAGATGGCGAAATTGATAGTTGTCGCTCTGATGATATGTTTTATGACAGAGGCATTAACTTCATCAGTAAAGGGACGACGTAAGTATTATAACGCCTAACACCTAGGGCAGTTCTCACTACCGAGACTCCGGCTTTAAAATTACGGCGCAAGATTATAAACTCTAGAGTGCAAAATATATCACGAATTTTATTGACCACCGCCCAGAAGAAATCATCTTTAACTTGTCGCACTGTGTGATAACACTGCCAACATGAAAAGCTTTCATTACTTTGCTCAGCCTAATATTATTTTTATTAAATTTACAACTTCAACTAAGAATTTACGAAAAGGCACTACTTAAAAAAAAAAATGAGAAAGGCGTTTAGTTTACTTCCCAGTTCTTCTCAGTTCTCGAAGGCAACGCTTAAGCTGGGTGTCAAGTTTGTTAAACAAGAACTACAATCTTCCAGAATTGACTTCACCTGAGTGCGCCCGTCTACAAGTGATAATTAAGAAATTCGCCTTCAAAGAGAGAAAAAAACCTATGAATTTGCTTGCTATCAGAGCTTCATTTAGGTATAATGTTTCAAATATCACTTTTTCAACAGAAAATTTAGTATTGATTATTCCTTCGTTTCAACTCTTTGATTAACCTGCCTATTATCACGTCGCCTCAGCTTTTATGTTAATTTCTGCTTCAAACTTTCCTTCTTTTTTTCTTTTTTCATTGTTTTATTTCACTGTGGAAATTTTTTTCTTTTGGCCTACATTGATTGTACCAGTTTTAATGCTTATGAACATAATAGCAATAAATTATCCTGAGAAGCAAGAATTTTTCAACATCACACTTGCATGTGAGTTAAATTTGCATTTCCCTTGAAAGAAAATGACTTTATCAACGGAAATTGTTTGGCCTCCTAGGAGCTTTCGACGCTGGTATCACAAAAGTTCACAAAAATGAATCAGCGTGAACTGCACGTAGTGTTTCTTCGTGACTTCAACAATTTCCTTCATTCTGTTCTAAGATTTGAAAAGCACTATAATTATCAAAAGTGAAATGACGAGACATAATTATAAATATGGTGCTTATTTTGTTTCATCTTTTTCATTTTTACTACGTTTTTGTGAATTAAGGATCAATCAAACGGTGCGACCAATCAAATTTATTTCACAGTAATTTGCTCTAGTTTTAGGTTTTGACATAAAAAAAAAGAACAGAAGAAAAACAAAAGCAAAACAAATTAAAACGGTGCAAGAGCTCGAAGATTATAGCGCTAAGGAAGAACAGCAACAGTACAGAACACACAAGTCAAGGATTTTATTATTATGGATTATTATTATGATTATTTCTTCTTCTTCTTCTTCTTCTTCTTCTTCTTATTATTATTATTATTATTATTATTATTATTATCATCACTATTGACATTTGTTATTAACCTTTCGGCTTATAACTGCCTCAAAATTTTTATCGATAAATTTCATATGCTTTTATATAACATCTCAGTTTATTGTTCACCAATGATGAAGCTCCGCCTATTAACGCACTATAATTATGTAATTGATAAAGGCAAGTTTCAATTTTCTTGGCCTTACTGGAAAAATTGCTAAATATCAAATTTTATTAACTGAAGAGAAATCATGATAATGCTCAGCATGCAAAATTATCATTTGTAGAAAACTTTCCCTTGAATATATGTTTTCTCTCTCGATTGAGTCAAGGCTTCAATTCAATCCGTTTTTCTAAACGCCCGAAAATTGACTTAGTTAGGTGTTAAAAATTGGTAGAAGTTGAGGGAAGTCGATAAACGAGTACACGAGAACGAACCATGATCGCCAAGAATGACTTCGATCGTCACTTTTTTTTTTCTCAGAGAAACGCGCGCCAAACGAAAAAGAAATATACTCGTCAAATTAAATAAAAATTAATCGAGCAAGTACAAAATAATTGTAAATACAAATTAAACAATCGAACTACTAAGTTTTGCAACAAAAAAACTAGCTATTTCAGTTTAACGAAAATCTTTAAGAGCAGATCGACGGCGTCGCAATGGGATCGCTACTGGGCCCCCCGTGGCATTTGCGTTTACGTGTTCAAATGAAGGGAAATTTTTTCTATAAGAGGTACTTGAATTTTTCTATAAGAGGTCCGACGCCTTGAATGACAACACTAAATACGTTGGCCTTAGTACCGTAATCAGTCATAAAAAAACGCCTGGAAAGTGCCTTTCAAAAAAAACACGAAAAAGGGACAACACTAAATAATTTGCATTCAGTAAATTCGAGAGTTCCTATTAAAAAGAACGTTAAGCCAACCGACTACTAAAAAATCACCGTCTGGCATGAAGGACGTAATCATCGTTGAGTATCCATCAAACATGGTCAATCAGCGCTCATCTAAAACCGTGTTCAAACCCTGTAGGAAGTCTGTTTATTTTTTGAGTCGATTAATGCACGTCTTCCACGAGGTCAACTTTTGCATAAAAAACACGAAAAAATGGTTCGCGGGAGAAGCAACTTCTATAGCGGCGCAAGACAAATGTTTCAAGAGTCGAGGATGTGCTCACAAACTATTTTGCGACGAAAGGAGATATCACTGGCATGATACCTGCATGTAATGGTAATTTTTTATCAATCTAGGTCGCCCCGTGTTCGCTCGACAACGCTGTAACAATGTTTGGACAGTCCAAAGATACGGGAAGTAGACTTAAGCACTTAGTATCGCTATTCGAAAAGTATATACCCAACTTTGTCTGAGGATTCGCGCAAACACATATACCAAGTACATCTGGATCAGACATGACATTCTCCTGCATGAGACACAATCGGCTGAGGGAAATATCTGTTTACAAGTCGGGTTAATTATCCATTCTTGTGCACCGCAAAATCAGCTAAAATCAGTCGCTGGAAACCTGGCATGTTATTAAGCCGGAGCGCTTCTAAGAATAACACGTTTAGAACTTCGACGAGTAGAAAAAAAAGGCAGTTGTTCTATATCCTTTCTGGTTCATCCAGGTAGAAGTCCTGGCATGATATCATTATGCCTGAGCGCTTCTAGGATATATAACACGTTTAGCATTTCAACCCATAGCCGTAAAAAACAATTAGGTAGTTGTTCTATATCCTTTCTGGTTCATCCAGGTAGAAGTCCTGGCATGATATCATTATGCCTGAGCGCTTCTAGGATATATAACACGTTTAGCATTTCAACCCGTAGCCGTAAAAAAAAATTTAGCCAGTTGTTCTATATCCTTTCTGGTTCATCCAGGTAGAAGTCCTGGCATGATGATATCATTATGCCTGAGCGCTTCTAGGATATATAACACGTTTAGCATTTCAACCCGTAGCCGTAAAAAACAATTAGGCAGTTGTTCTATATCCTTTCTGGTTCATTCAGGTAGAAGTCCTGGCATGATATCATTATGCCTGAGCGCTTCTAGGATATATAACACGTTTAGCATTTCGACCCGTAGCCGTAAAAAAAAATTTAAGCAGTTGTTCTATATCCTTTCTGGTTCATCCAGGTAGAAGTCCTGGCATAATATCATTATGCCTGAGCGCTTCTAGGATATATAACACGTTTAGCATTTCGACCCGTGGCTTTAAAAAAAAATTCAGGCAGTTGTTCTATATCCTTTCTGGTTCATCCAGGTAGAAGTCCTGGCATGATGATATCATTATGCCTGAGCGCTTCTAGGATATATAACACGTTTAGCATTTCAACCCGTAGCCGTAAAAAACAATTAGGTAGTTGTTCTATATCCTTTCTGGTTCACCCAGGTAGAAGTCCTGGCATGATATCATTATGCCTGAGCGCTTCTAGGATATATAACACGTTTAGCATTTCAACCCGTAGCCGTAAAAAAAAATTTAGGCAGTTGTTCTATATCCTTTCTGGTTCATCCAGGTAGAAGTCCTGGCATGTTATTATTATGCCTGAGCGCTTCTAGGATATATAACACGTTTAGCATTTCAACCCGTAAACGTAAAAAAATATTAGGCAGTTGTTCTATATCCTTTCTGGTTCATCCAGGTAGAAGTCCTCGCATGTTATTATGCCTGAGCGCTTCTAGGATATATAACACGTTTAGCATTTCGACCCGTAGCCGTAAAAAGAAAAAAAATAGGTAGTTGTTCTATATCCTTTCTGGTTCATCCAGGTAGAAGTCCTGGCATATTATTATGCCTGAGCGCTTCTGGGATATATAGTAGCAGTTTGACCCGTAGAAAAAACAAACTCAGCCGTTCATTTTGTAGGAGATATTTAAGCGTTTTTGTCTGTGTTAGCAATGTGATCGACTTTAAACGCAGACCTTAATAAAATGTTTTTTTCTTTGACGGCACTGAATAATTTTAGCCGAAACTTGAGCCGTACATTTGTTGAATGCCGCGCTTTAATTAAATTTATCGCCCTAGAATGATGACATTATGGCGCGAAAATTGACGCCTCTATCGTAATAGAGGCGAAATATGATCAGAGATAAATGGAATAGTGAATGTTACAAGCTTCTGAGTATCCAGCTGAGATAGGGGACTTTTAGTCCCCTATCTCAGCTTGATAAACAAAATTTTTTTGGTTGCTAAGACGGTGCGGCTCGTAGATCTTGCGAAACGCCTGTCCTCTACGCAAGATTTTTTTCTTGCAAGAATGCAAGAACTTGAAAGGGATATTCTTGAAACTGAAATATCCCAAGAAGCTTCTCATGTCAGCCATAACAGTCTTCAGCAGCCCCGTGATGACACAGGACACACACTGGCCTCTGACAGCCCTTTACGGCAGTCAAGCAGCACCTCACTGAAAGGCTCACACAATTGGGTGAAAAAACAATAGAAACGGTGACATAACAATGCCCCATCCCTGAAAACAAAAGGCAATATTGTTTTAGTCGGCCACTGAAATTAGAGGTTCGTGTGAGTTACTGGTCCCGTGAAAACTGGCCGCAATTCACAATCGATTTTCCTCTCAAGGACTCTCAGTTTTGTGAAAACTGTCCACGGATCTGCTCAGCAGATTTTTGATCCTTGAAAGTCTTGAAAGGTAAGATGATCCGTAAGGCAGTAGTCCAGTACCTCACATGAACCTCTAATTTCAGTGGTCGAGTAAAACAATATTGCCTTTTTTTTTCAGGGATGGGGCATCGTAGTGTCACCGTTTCTATAATTATATTGTTTTTACAGCCAATTGTGTGAGCCGTTCAGTGAGGTGCTGCTTGACTGGTTTTCACTAGCAAAATTTGCCCATTTTCACTCTTAAATTTACATGCACTTTTCACACTTTCTTTATCTATAAATATTACCACGGATCAGGTAAATTTCTTATCTTTTGATAATGACGACATGAAGCCATCGAAACTTTAAGTTTCTTTTAAGTTGTTAATTTTTGTTTCAAAATATACAAATTAGAGGCAAAAAGGAGGAGAGACTGGAGCGGAGGAAGGAAAAAGTTGTCTTAATTTTTCTTCTCTAGGACCTCTAGCTCTTCCACTCTCGTTCAGTGAGGCTTCCCCGCTCGCTCCTCATACGTGTTCTCGATCTACTGCGACGCAACAGAAAAAAAGAAAAAGAGAATTCGGGCTAAGACGCTCAGAGAAGAACTCGCACGTGATCAGGTCGGCCATCCTCTATCCGTCGAAACCGGGAGAAATCTAAGCCCCTGTCGCGCAAAGTAAATGACGTTCTCCCCATCAAAGAGTAAAAACTATTTACATTGTGTTTCATTTTAGTGTTGTGAGGTTTTAAATAACAGTTCATATCTGGCCCCACGGGAAAAAGCTTCCATTCGGGGAACGTTCACGCTTGGTGCCCGGGCACAATGCCAAAGCACGGTACTAGCAGGGCGGAATGGAGAGAAAATGCACCCAGTTACATATCGAGTACTCAATGTGTGAACACAAGACTTAATTCAGTCCCAGTACCCATGCACAAGTGCTTGGGCACAAAGGGTACGTGAACACTGAGCCCCTTAGGGACTCTTGGAAACAGAAATCACTGATTCCCTCTCGGATGTTAGCCATCAAGTGCTTTAGTAATGTTCTCCTTACTTTTATCTGATAGAGAAGGAGAAGTGTGTCAATGAGGAGGACGATGAAACTTGCGAAGTGTTCGCAGAATATTGCGAAGATGTGAACAAGGAGTTGAGTGAAGATGACCATCGATATTTTGTGCATGAATCATGTCCTAAGACGTGTTTGATGTGCTAATTGCTAACCATGGTAAACCACTCGCAAATCACTAAGGTATCTGTCTCCTCCTACAATAAAGCCCTGTTAATGTTTGTTGAGTACCGACTAGGGTGAGAGCATTGATTCCAGCTGAGCTGCGACTTCCCGGCAAAAGCTCTGACCATAGAATTGTGTTTTACGTCCGGCCTAATATTCACTTCAATCCTGAGAAATCTTTTCCATAAAATCCCAATAGACATTCTTTGCCTGTACTAAAATTGCCCAGGCTGGTTCACAGTTAAGACATAATAGCTTCAATAAGCAAATATCCTGGGATACGATAAGGAAATTAAAGGGAGTCGAGTAAACTCTAAACTCTAATTTTTACTCCAATCAGCTCTCACTGTCAATATTAAAGTAATGGTCTAAGAAATCTATCCACTTGCTGCCTATGGAAAACGAGACGTGAATCCGCTCTTCCCTGATTTTTGTTGTTGTTGTTTTCTTTTTCTTTTTCTTACGCGTCTTGTTCGACGGGCTAAGAGAAAACAGGGCTGTTCGTAGTGCATATACAAAAAACGGAATCTCAGTCAGTTTAAGTATACAATCAACATAAATATGCGTTTGCCTTAACAGATTTCAGAAGGGATGAAGACGGATGAAGGAGTCAACAATGCATTATTACGTTATTTCTAATTAATTAAATTGACTGAAGCTTTTGCTACCGCGAATCAAATAGATTGTGAAGAAAACTGAATGTAAACCGATGTGAATTGAGCTATTAAAGTTTCATATAATTCAGAACCGGGTAGAGTCACGCAATTCTGGCAGTTGCTTTTATTGTTGTAATGCAGACGCTAGACGCTTGTTAGTGTAGCAAAATATTAAAGATTTGGCTCAAAGTGTTTGTGGTCATTACTTTCCTTCTCTAGGCTAAGCCGTAAATTGCTGGGGAAGTTTTTACTTCCCAGGTAAAGTCGCGACTTTTGGGCAGTTATTTGTCTTGATAATTGCTTTTCATGGGTTTCCTTACTAAGACATCAAGAATGAATAGATTGTATTTTGTACGGTAAATTTCAGGTTTATGTTTTCCGTTATTTTTTATGTGATCACAATACTGAGACCCAGCAGTATGAGATTTAATTTGGTTGTTAGTGAGCTACCTGCACACTATTTTTCTAGATGGCGGAAGCAGATGTTCGATAATTGGCCGAGGAAGTAACGGACTATTTCGGACATTTGCAGGCATTTAAATTCATTTATTTGGAAACTTTTCAAGAAATTTGGAGAGGCTTTCTGCCTCATCTTGCTTATGTTTTTTTCTTTTCTTTATAAATAATTAAAAAGTTAAAGATGATGATAACGATGCTAAATTGTTTCTGAAGTTTTTAAATAAAAGTTGAAGAGTCGCAATGTCCAGATGAGTTGAGCATCCATATAGTCGTCTACTGATGAGACTACCAGCAAATAAAGGTTCAATAGATGAATTGAGCATACATATAGGTTCCACTTTAGACGTAGTTACATGGAGAAAATGATAATGGCCAAAAACTTCATTCACGAAACAGCTACTCGTTAACCTACGGATCCCTTGCATCTATTTTGTTTGCACTGCCGCTAGGTTTGTCGGTTGCTAAAAAAAAAACTTTTCGTCTCTCTTTCCTTGTCTAACCAGGGTAGCTCCGGTGGCTCCCTTAGAACACGCGCTGAACTTTTAAATATATAGTACCTTGCATGCCTCAGTTGGACGTCAACGGTTTAAAGAAGTAGACTCCTTGCTTAAGGGTAAAGAACAAAAACGTCTGCACAAGTTTCACCAGAATTATCCTTTTGTGAATAATCGAAAAGATCTTCAACAAACCAAATTTTGAGGACTTTCGTGATTGGGTCATGTGCTGGGCTGACAGATGCTAGCCTGAACACGATCTCAGGTGAGGTGCTTCGATAACCTTCCAAAGTGTAACCGTTAGGATGGAAAAGATGGTAGTTTTCAGGTAGAACAACCTTATTTCGTTCGTTCGTGATGATGGTTCGTATTTTTCGAGAAGGACGTCCCCAATTTGCTCCCCTGTTATTTCGCCCGCTGGAAACGGCGCCCGAAATATGAGTTAGTTTTAATGCAGCAATACCACCTGAAGTGTGGAGATCAAATTTTCCATAGGAATTGTTCTTTGCGCCAAAGCAGACAGGACGATCCTTGTTGACTTTTGACCAACCTGAACCTATAAACACCATTTTTAAAACAAACAAAAAATGTTATTTTCTAATGTAAACAGCCTTATGATGTCTCAAGAAAGCAAAAAATGCTGAATGAAGCCCGCCAACCCACCAAAGCCTTAATTTGATTTAATTTAAATGGGGGTAAGTGGGGGTGGGTCGGGGCTGGTAAGACGTTTTATTTTTAACCGGAATAGAGCTAACGCAAATGAGCAGTGCTTATCAAATATGTTTAGTGTTTATTGGTGTTTTAAGCTTCAAAACGTCATAATAAATTAAAATTCATTTCAGCGCATTTGGGAGGGCTTATAATCGGATGAATTAATTGGGTTTCAATTCAAAAGAAAAAGAACTTTTTTTTTTTTTTTTTAACTAAATTCATTGACATACTTTCTGGCGAAATTACTTCACGAGGCAAAATTTGCATAATACCTGAAGAACGCCAAATTGACACAAACTATCAATTTGCAGTATGTGTGAAATTTCTGTAGTCGTTTCTTTTGACGTATTTTCGATCGAAAACAAAAATGAAAACATGTTTACATCTTCTGTCAATTTTAAACACCTTGAATTCCGTTAAATAACTTTAATACTGCACTCGGCTTAAAACCTACCTTCTTCACAGTTCGCTCCCTGACAGCAGCCAGAAGTATATTCACATGTGGAGCCGCTATCCTTTTTATCGTCAGGATGGCACGTTCCACCATGCTGACATGGCTGGGCGAAATGTGGCGAGACCTATAGGTAAAAGGTGAATTTACTAGGATATAATTCATGCGGCAAGAGTAAACGTATAAACCAAAGGTGCCGGATCCTGCAGTGATGAACAACGACTTAGAGAACTCGCTACCTTTAAATTTATCTCAGCCAGTTTCCCTGGTGCAATAGAGAAATAGCATATACTTTCTTAACTAAACAGTCAGCCTTCAACTTCAAAACGAGGAACATACTATCACAAACCAATTCATGCCAAAGAAATCAAGTAATTATTCAACAAATTAGTGGCATCCGAGGGAAAAGATATTTACTTACTTTCATAGTGTAATGATCGAATCGTACACTTGCCACAAGATTTTCGCTCTTCCTTTCCTTGGTAGAGGCTAGCAACTGACAGAGCTGAAGCTCGCGGCCTTTGAAAGCGCTTTGAATATTGACTGACAGACACTCAGGGGTGTCCAGACATTGGAACTGGCATTCTTCGCCATCTTTAGTGTATTTGGAGAGAAGGCATGAGACGTTGAGCATGCTTCCACAATAAGCAACAAAATTCGAGTAGAGGATTTGGCTACCACCTGCATCTGTAATGATACCAGCACTTGAACTTTGCTGTTCACTGATAGCGGCAGGCAAAATTTGTGGGATCATAATGAAATTCAATAACGTCAAAATTAAAAAGACCATTTCGATGTATATCTAAGTTTCTTAATATCATGCAACTATAATAAAAACTAAGTTGTCGACCCGTTGCATTCAAATCATTGTTGGCAAGTATATATGCCGTTTGTTTCCACGCGTATTCGTTGTACCTGTAAAATCTGTAATGAAGCTTGTTATTTTAGGGTTTTGTGTATGTTCTTAACACCTTCACTGACTGCAGCCTAGATAAATACAATTTGAGCCACAATCTCACTAATTGAAAAGATCAGTTTAAATAAGTAGTAAAGTGATAAGGGAACTAGCTCATCAACAACTGACTCAAAACAACAATATGCCACAATTTTCTGATTTTAAAACAACAAAAATTCGGACAAAAAAAAGGGATAGCAAAACGTTTCCAATGCAGCTAGTTCTTAATGTACTTATCCTGTTAGACCCTTTTTAGTCAGCGCAAATAGGTTTTCATAAGTTTAAAACAACGCAGTAAAATCAAAACAAATTTCATGCTTAGTTTACCGAACATTTCTCTGCTCTAATGAATTGCCCCTGATGGGTGAAGTTTACTTGACAACCACATTGTCCGTTAGCATTTGTTTTAACCTTTGTTCCCCTAGCTTATTTTGTTTTCTTGTTTTCTTTTCTTTTCTTTCTTTTTTTTTTTTTCAATAATTTTAACATCATTGCCAACTCTATAGCTGCAGACTTAGAGGGTTACCATTATACTTTGTTTGAATTAAACATAAAACGTCGTTTGACGTCATAAGAATTGCACAATCATCTCCGATCCCCACATGTACAAAGATCAGATAAACCTAGAAAAGACTAATGTCTGAGTAAACCGTATTTAGAGAGTATAAATTTGAAGCCTTGAAATGTGTGGTTAAAACTTTAACGACCAAAGCGTGGTTTTCAAATCATGAACGTTAAACTCAAATCTGTTTAGCCAGTTTCTTCACCCGTCACCACTTCAGATACATTAGTATTTCTTGCTCAAGGTATATATACAAGCTTGAAAAAAAAATAACGTTCAAACAAATATCACGTTCTTTACATTTGATAAAGTGTGTGTAAAAAATTGTCTATTTCTCCTGAAGCAGCCATAAACCATCCATAAACTGTGTGTTTTATTACAAAGAAACACCAAATAAAGGGGACTTACATAGCAAAAACATTAAAGCCCCCCTAAAAAAAAAAAAATGTATGGTTATTCAGAGGCGGATCCAAGATTTTTAACGGGGGGTGGCTGATACCATCAGGCCACCAAACTATATGCAAATCTACTTCAAATTGCCCTTTGTTTGCCCCAAAGAGTTGCAAATTAGGAACTGAGGACTACCTAGAATCTGCTGTTTTCCCTCCACCACCACACCACCACCACCCCCACATATCTATTGTTTTCACTCCTCCTATTGTTTTTCTACCAGACAGGCCAAAATCAGGCCTAAAAGGCCAAAGTCAGGCCAAAAAAGTCAAACTCAAATAACCTTTGTAGCAGGATGGCAACAGGAGGAGTGAAAACAATAGAAATGCGGTGATGTTGGGAAAACAATATAATAGAAATGTGATGGAGGTGGTGGTGGTGGTGGAGGGGAAACAATAGAAATGTGGTGGTGGTGGTGGGAAAACAATGGAAATGTGGAGGTGCTGGTATATAGTTTAACTATTCACGAAGCTGTGTTGAAAAAAAGGGTCCATGTAGGGTCCATGTAGGGTCGATATGAGGTCAATATATTTGTTTGGGGAAAAATGTATAAAGAAATGAGGAGGTGGATGAGAAGGAGGGAAAATAATGAAATTATGGAGGAATGAAATCAAGATTGAGGAGGAGGTCTCAAGCATGTTAAGGCGTGGCCTGTGGCTAATTTGCATAAAATCTTATAATGATCATAACTTTGTGCAAATTTATCAGAACCTTCCAAAATTTGGAAAACTCGGAAAAATCGTTAACTTTAGTTTTCCGGTAACGTAAGAAATCAGATATCTGTGTCACGTGACCACTTATGGTCGAGTCCAGGAAAGAAAAGAAAACTACAAAATGGGGTGGCGAGATACCGCACAGTATATATCAAATACAGTATTTTTGCTATTGAGTCATCCTTTCTCGCTTGAATCTGGCAGGAATGGTTGACTCACGTTTTTATTTAATTAGCAATTAAGCAAAAAAAATAGATCACGTGACATTTTTCACCTTTTTAAGAAATTAAAAATTCCCTCCATTGCGGCCACGGAAAAAATTTGCACGGTAAGGGACTGTGCAATAATTATCAGGAGGGGGAGGGGCCCTAAAACCAGAGGGGGGGCATTA